TTCTCGCTGGGGGATTTCCTGTACTCCGCTGGGGCGGCGCGCTTGGCTTAAATGATGGGAGTCAAGTCGTTTGACTTGGCTTGAAACCAATCATGTGACTTTGAGGTTTTTGTTCCCAAATGTGGCCAAAGCTGTGCGATGGATGGTGTTTCGCAGCTCTTCCCACTTCTTTGTTGCAGATTCTTCATGCTGAAAGGCACTAACTTCCTTCTGAAAGGCGATGGCAAACTGCTCCACGAGTTCTGTTTGGCAGATCCTGCTGATTGCAATGTGTGCTTTTCCTTGTTGTCTGGCACGGTGGCATTTCTTTGGCTGCATCTTGAACTTGCAACACACCAGTGAATGGTCTGTGTCGCAGTAAGTACTCTCATAGTATCGGATCAGTAGCACGTTCTTGAGAGAGGTGCGCCTTGTAAGGATCAAGTCCAGTTGGTGTCAGTGTTTGGAACGTGGATGTCTCCAGGAAACCTTGTGTTTTGGCTTGGTCTGGAAGTACGAGTTAGTGACGCACAGGGCGTGATAGGTGCAGAACTCGGGTAAGTGCTGTCCGTTTTCGTTCATTTTACCCACACCAAACTGTCCAAGGCAGGATGGCCAGGAGTTGTTATCAGCACCCACTCTGACATCGAAGTCGCCCAGGAGAACTAGTTGTTCCGAGCTGTGGATGCTCCTAACAGTGGTTGCGAGGTTCTCGTAGAATTCATCCTTTAACTCTGGCTTGGCGGTCAGTGTTGGGGCGTATGCACTGATGAGGGTGACGGGGCCTTCGGTGGTTTTTGAAGCGAAGAGTCGGGAGTTGCGCAGATCCGTTGCTGTTCGATTCCACCATCTTCAGCAAAGTGTTTTTCACTGCAAAGCCTACTCCATGCTCTCTGGGCTCGTCAGAGCCCTTTCCCTGCCAGTAGAACGTGTAGTCCTTCTCTCTCAGTGTGACCTGAGTCAGCCATACGTGTTTCCTGAAGGGTTGCTATATCCACGTTCTATCTCTTCAGTTCTTTATTTATGATGGCGGTCTTCGTGACGTCACTGCTGTCCATAAGGCTTTCCGCAAAGTCAGTCATCATGGTGCGGACGTTCCAAGTTCCCAGTTGTAGAGCTAGTCTCTTTCTTTGTTTTGTTTTGCCTGGTGCAAATATTACAGTCCACCGTTCAGATTTCTCCTATTCCACATTCACCCAACAAGGAAGGCAGACTGTGGCGAGACAGCACCTTACTGGCTGGAAGCTGCCCAGCTTGAGGCGGGCGGTAGCTGTCCAGTGAGATCCGAAGGTCCCTTCCATCGTCTGGAGCAATCCCTGACGCCAAGCTCTACGCCAGTCGAGCGACGGCTTATAACCGATTACTATTGCTCCCCGTGTTGTGTCTACGCCATAGCTGGAGTGCCCTCTCCAGTGTATTGTCTGTGTTTCTACCTCTCTACCTCGACGTATTTTTTCAGTTGAAAAAAGGGATAAAATTACACAAGTTTGAGTTTGCTTGTTCTACTCATTGCACATTCAACAATTTATGATAAATCATTGAAAGGGACAACGAACAGTTGCTGGGGTACCTATTAGGTCATCTTCAGTAACGTCATTTCTTTCCCACGTTTTTTCTTTTTGTATATAAATTATTTGCCAGTTATCTAAAGCCTCTATTTAAAATTACAATTTATTTATTAAAATTCATTTTCAAATTGCAGTCTTTGCCTGAACACATCTACAATTTGCCAAATCTTAATGCATTGTGTTTTAGATTTAATTAACTATCTTGGATTGAACAATTATATTATTGCTAAGTGTAGAAACATAATGTAAATATTTCCAATACGTTTTACCTCAATTTATCAGTTTTATTATCTTTAATCTTGGTATTTTATACTGTATTTTCATAATTACATGTATTATGTTAAATTGCCTCTGGTTGCTCGTTATTTTTATTTTAACACTAAGTACACTGTATGAGTTTGCGCAGGTCTGCAATTACGCCTTTTGAATCTTGCTTCTCTGCTATATCCGCCTGTATCAATTTTTTTTTTAAAGAGGTTGTTATTATACTCTCGTAATGTTTCTATTACCATCTGCGTTAAAAAAGAAAAAAATTCATTTAAACATTTATATCTAACTTACCAAAGATTTTTAGGTGCGCCATACAATGTTTACAATGTATTTTGTTTTCATCTTATTAATATGTTAATATGTTATTAATAATGTTGCAATGCATACTTTTATCTTGTTATCGTCAATTTGTATGTAATTTCAAATTGTTGGCAAGATCTCCCTTCTCTCTTTCCCCTTCTTTACCTCGTGTCGCTCTCTCTCTCTCTCTTTCTTCTTCCTCTTTCTCTTCCTCTCTCTCTCTCTCTCCCTCCTCTCTCCATCTCTTTTCTCTCTTTCTCCATCTTTCTATCTTTCCTGCTCTTTCTCTTTCTTCACTATATCTCTCGGTCTATTATTCTCTCTTTCTCTTCTTCTCACCTTCCTTCCCTCTCTCCTCCTCTTCTTCTCTCTCTCTCTCTCTCTCTTTCGTTTTTACCTTTTTAACCTCTTTTCTCTACATCTTTTCCTTCTCTCTTTCTCACTTTGAATTCATATTTTGTTTAGGTACATATTTCCGTTTTCCTCCTTGTTCGTATTTTTGCTTTTGTGTTACATTTGGTACAAAATTAAGGATAAACATGTAATATAAACGTGTACTTATAATTATGTAAATGATACTGTTTTAAATTGTACACTCGTTTTTTAAATGCAATATATATCGATGTGCAATTCAGTATATGTAACTGCGATGCATGATTAAAAAAATACCACACCATACCATACCATACCTGCACATTACATTTCTTTTCCTGGTGATGCTACGTGCACGTCTGACAAAGCAACTCCTATGTTGCAATTGTATGGTCTATTGTACACATGTGGTCAGCTCTGGTGAAGCTATAATTTTCTGAACGACGGGTGCGATATTTGTGAATGATTGAGTTCAAACAGTAAAAATTGTGAAATAGGAATAGGAGTTGATTATGATAATATTCATACATAAAAATACTTGTCTGACAAATGTGAATATTTTTTTTTCTTCATGAGATAAAGATTATGTGTGTGATAAATAATTTGAGTAAGTAATCATGCGAATCGCTCTCTTTTGAAAGGAAAATAAAGAATTAATTATTGTGATACTCAATTCAATAAAATGTATTCAGCTAATCATTTAAACAAAAATACAATCATACTGGTACTGGTACAAGACAGGCTATGAACCCCTGAGAACCTTAGCATGTAAATGGGGCCCATTAATTTACAATTACATAAAAAATATAATAAAAACATACTATAACAAACAAAACAAAAAGATATATGTGTATATTCATACTTATTACAAAACAATTACCAATATCTTGCAAACACACTCAGCCATACTTACTCTTTCACACACAATACAATGCACTTTAAAGCATATTAAAAGAGAGAGAAAAGGAGAGAGAAGAAGAGAGTAGAAAAGAAAAAGGAAGAAGAGGAAGCACATGAAAAATGCGAAACATGAGATTAAAACTTATAGTCCTACCCAGTTTTACAAATTAATTGTACGTACAGGGGGTTTGTGTAATAACATGTTTTGCCTTGTGTTATGTAAATGAACAGATGAATTACTAATAAATGTGTTTTGAAAAATGTGTGGAAGATTACCAGTGTAGAAATGATACATAAATAAACAAGTATTATAAGTGATATCAGTTCCTGAACAGGAAGAATCTTCATTCTGCTAAATAATAGTTTCGTATGAGAATTATACGTTGAATTCGTTAAAATTCGAATTGCCCTCTTTCGAAGTATTTTCATTTTGTTTAGATGAGACGAATATGAATCCCCCCACACTATATTGCAGACAGACAAATGGGTTAATACTATTGAGTTGTATACATTAGCACATTTTGGGGAACGGTAAATTCAATTTTGATATAAGGAATACTACTATACTGCCCCATACAATATTATAATATAACACATGATGAAATTAGAGAATTATATAATATAATCATAGACCTTTCAGAAAGATTTTGTTGACTAATACAGTATTCCAGTTTCCAATATTCCCTATATATCACACCTGCTAATAACAATCTTTTCCAGGTTTCTTCAACATAAATTGAGGACATAGGAAAAGGAGAAAAACATTCCCTAGAATCGAGTTCTAGTTGAAGGTAGTGTTTCCTTTTTGCACTCAACATCAAACTCTGTAGAAATGTGCAGGAATTATGAAATTGTCATGTATGTCCTATTTGTGAAGATTAAACGTTGACGGAGATCTACTATTCAAATTATGCAAGGAAACCCGTTTAATGTTTAGACTTCACTGTCAGACACTATTGAGTGACAGACGGACTTTTTTTCTTTGGTATTAACATACATAAAAATGAGCTGTAAAGGGTACATGAGCATTTGTATACATCAATAACTCACTTCTTGTAATGGCCAAAATTAAGCTGATCGAATCTTACCATTCGGTTCTAAAGTCTGAAAATCAGATTATTTAATTTAGCGACTGCAATCCCTATATTCGATTCGACAACTTACGGTCGTTACACCCCCCACCCCCCCCCCCTCCCAAAAAAAAATAAAAAATTGTAAGCCCCTTTGTTTTGAGAGAGTTCTAAATATTATCTTCAAATGTCGTTGGAATTCTAACCTTTTAATTGTTTAGGCCTGCAAAAAAGGACATAGTACCTTTAAGAGAGAGAGAGAGAGAGAGAAGAGAGAACGCAATGGAGCCCCGGGGGGGGGGGGGGTTGACCTTTTTTATATGGAAAACTTCATATCTTTAAGGAGTACTTAAACTCTATGACAACATTTTTCTCTCAGCTAATCAAATGCAAGGATCTCGCGGTAGCTTATGACAGCTAATGCAATTTCTAACTGATACAAATTTAGGAAATAAGGTCAAGATTTGTCGTCAACAGTCAAAGAAACTGAGTTATTAAAAAGTTCGTTTTACTTCGTCTTGAAACATCGTGGAAATTAATACTATCCATCAGGAATCAAATCATTCGTCTTTAGATTGATGGTCAGATTTTTGGTTAGTTCATCAAAAAAATATAACTGTCCCCTAATATCTTCAGGCCAGTGCAGATAGGGTCTGCCATCACTTAGGTACATCCTTGCAAGGAAGGGTATTTCTTCGTCGGGAATATCTTCCAGGAAAATCACGAAGACAAACTCGGTCTGGGTATCACTCACGTGGTCCATGGCCGTCCGGAACTTGAGCATGAACCAGCGATCGCGGACAGCGGCACTGCTGAGCAGTACAACGGTTTTGTAACTCCGCCTCACCACATAGTCGACTGCCTCCAAATAGTGCATACCGGGGATGAGATCCTCGTCACCAAAGACGTTGCTCTGGAATTGCGGAAGCCGTTCTTCGATGGCTAACCGAAGATGTTCACGGACCCATTCTTCGTCATCATCGTAGAAGATGATATTCAAATCGAACTCGTATTCGTCGTGTTCCCGAGTGTCTCGTATCTCCAGGTACCCAAGGGCGGCAAACTTCAGGAGAAAGAGTCTGTGCCTTAATTGCCATCGATAGTGATGAAAGAGCACGGCGATGGCGACCAGACAAATGACAGCGAGGGAAGACAAACAGACGAGTGGGATGCTAAGGCCACAGAGCTCCGAGGGATCAAAATCAAGGAGAGGTTTGTAGTGGAGCGGCTCTAAAGATGCTGGCGAACAAAGAGTTGTATTCTTGTTGAGAAGTTCAATAGGACGACCGATCCAATCGAGAAGCCAACTGAGATCACAGTCACATACGATTTGATTTAACGAAAGATCGATAGAGAAAAGCGACGATTCAATTGGCTTAAAAGTACTTTGGTTTAAGACCGTAAATTTGTTGTTTGACAAGAGAAGAGTTGTCATCCTTTGGTTATTGGAAAATATTTCTTTGTCGAGGTATGCCAAACGATTGTCAGCAAGATTTATGCTTTGCACTTGGCCCAAGCCCTTCAGTAAATCTAAAGGAAGTTGTTGAATTATGTTCCCCTTTAAATTTAGCTCTTGGAGCGATTCCAACCCTATGAAGGCTGTTGAATGAACTGTTGAAATGTTACAGTGTTCGAGACGAAGGGTTTGTAGAGCTGAGAGGGATTGAAATATCCGAGGTTGCGAATCTTTGAAAGATCTTGACATCATGGGATTTCTACTCAGATCCAAAGTCGTCAGATTAGACAACCCTTCAAAAAGGGATACATTCGCTTTATAATCCCACATTGTATAACGAGAAACCCAAGAATCTGTAATACTCAAATGTTCAAGAGACCTTGTATAGTTGAAGGATGATCCAGGCCTCAAAGCCAAACGGTAGCGGAAACTGTCCATAGAAAATGATGTTAAGCTCGGGATTACCAATTTAAAGTTAGTATAAAGACTGCTATGAGAAAGTTTGATGGTCTCAATTCGTTTTAGTCCCGAAAAGGATGTAAGTTCTAGCCTATGAAGGGCTTCATTATTCTTTAGGTCTAAAAGCCTCAAATTTTGCAAACCGCGAAATGTGGAGGGGTAGATTTCGATTAAAGAATTGTCAGATAAGTGCATCTCGACTAAATCCCTATTCCATGTAAAACCATTTTTGTTGATGGTTCGTATTCGATTAAAGTTCAAGTTTAACACCCTTAGCTGTTGCATACCTTTAAAAAAATCCGGTTCGATTCTGTTTATCTCGTCCCAATTGAGAACTAGTTTGGAGACCTTATTTAAACTCGAGAATATAGAAGAATAAAGGCTGAAACTATTTCCGGACAATTCAAGTGATGTAAGAGAAATATTGCGCAGTGGATCAAATAGATCCTTTGGAATTACCCCAGAATTGCCAAGACCTGCATAGTTGATTGCGAGGTTCTTTATCTTCGAACGTGAGACACCAATGAAGATATTTCTAGCGACAACTAAAGTCAAAGTGTATCCTTCTACCACCAATGATCGGACGTGTAGTGATGCAATTACACCAGGATCAACTGATCGGATGGGATTCCATGTAAGGAAGAGTTCATCTGTTTGACAAGTGAAGGTAAAAGTGTCATCTGTGAGCCGTTCAATATTATTATGTGACAAGAAGACGGATCCCACTGTGCCACAAATGCTGATATTCACTGAGGTCAGCTCGGCGTTGCTGAGAAATACTTTATCTAAAGTTGGGCTCCATCTTAAAATGTCACCCGGAAGCGATTTCAAGCCTGACTGGGACACATCAAGATAGGACAACTTAGTGGCCCACCTGAGTAGTCCTGTTGGAAGTACAAGATATGGGTTGAGGAACATACGTAGGAGGGCTAATTCTTTGAGGGGATAGAAAGTTGTGGGTTCTATCACTCTAATGTCGTTCTGGGAGACGTCTAGGTAGGTGACATGAGGGTACCTTTCAAACGAGGAGTTCAATAAAGACTTGATACTATTCTCACTGATCCTCAGGATTTCAACATCCTCTGGGAGCTCTTCAGGAACGTTCGTTAACCCGAGTCTCTCGCAATTAGCAGTATTCGATTGAATCTCAAATGCACACTCCTCGACAGAGTTTTCAATATATCTTCGTTTGTAGGACAGCACTGTCGTATCTGCAGGAAGTGCTTGCAAAAAGCTTATGATTACCAGGAAAAGCGAAGGGTCCAGAAGCATTCCGTGTTTGAATGCCATAATGACCGATCCTGTTTTTAAAAAAGGGAGACAAATTACATTTTAACTTCCTACTTTCAAACTGTAAACATATTTGTTGTTATCGATGGTTGCCCCAACTTTCCGACGACAATAACATGAATAACAGTACTTTTGACAAAACATAATATTTATGCTTCATTAAATTTGTCAATACATTTAACACGAAATATAAAGATAACCGATTGCAAACTTATTTATCTATTGAGAATAACACATGTAACATATTTTCCTTATTTTCAACACAGGGATTTTATACTTAAAGCAACTAAATCCAAATAAATCCGAAAGGGGGCATGTTTTCTTTTTTAACACAGATTTAAAGCGCTTTAAAACCAAATAAAATCCTAATGAATCTTATTCAGTATCAAACATGTCAAAACTCATCCAAAATTTATTCAAAATCACTAATCGCACATCCCTATTGCAGTATATCAATTCCAGTTCGCAAATCACAACTGACCAAACTTAATGTACAAAAAAAAAATACCTTACCTTAATTGAATATAAGTGTAAGTACTAAAATTGATGACTGTTAATTACAGAATGAAGCTGACGTCCAATCGCTAACGTTTGAATATATGCCACTAAAATTTGATGAACTAATTAAAACCACACAGTTAGGACAAACGCAATGACTGCGATTGTCTGATTGTCCTCGGCGCAAATATATCTTCTGCAACATCAAAGTTTGTATCATAAGTACCTGCAAAGGGAAACTATACCAAATCAGCTCTGGTGAATACCATTAATAATCTTGGCAAAATAGAATACAGGTAATGTTTTAAACTACCTCTACTCGTTTAGCTATCATAAGTTCAGTTTCAGCAATATAACATTAAGTCCTTTAAAAACCAAATAAAATCCTAATTAATCTTACCTAGTATCGAACATGTCGAAACCCCAGCAAAATTATATAAAATAATTAATCGCCAATCCCTATTGCAGTATATCAATTCCGTTTCGCGCCCCTATGAAGAAAAAACACAACTGACTTAACTGAAGGTATGAGAAATAAATAAATAAGTATCTTAACTTCAATGAATATAAGTGCGGGTAAGTAGATTATTATCAATTAGAAAATAAAGCAGACGTCTAATCTCTAGGGCCACAATCCTAACGGTTGAATAAATGCCACTAACATTTGATGTACCCAACCACAACGCTATAACGGACGCAATGATTACGACTGTCCTCCGCACAACAGGCTATATCTCCTGCAATCTCATAAATTTGCTCTCTGTAAAGTGAAACTATACCAGTTCATCTGTTATGATTACCATCAAATATAGAGCCCAGAAAATGTTAAACGACTTTTACTTCTGTATTTATCATAATTTTAGTTTCAGCAATCTATCATAAAGTAGCTACCAAACACACGTACTTACTATTGTTTTAGCAATTAATGCAATTAATAACTTTCGACCTAGAATAGGTTTGGGTGTGGGTGTTATTAATAAAGGATGGATTAGTTTCAGCAATTTTTCATTCCATTATTTATCAAATAATTCTTTTGAAGACACGTGCACATAATAATAATACGAAATAAGAATAATGCAACATCTTCTTTTTTTCTCTCTCTTCTTTAATATACTTGCAATTAATTATATGGTGTTTTTTTCTATTCTGTGCTATTTGTGTATGTTAAGCCACATTGATAGGGAAAGAACACCTTCGGTTAACATTATTGAACTAATCTTTTTCTTTTCCCGACATCCGTGTGATTGATTTTGAATTTAACCGTTGTTACGCATTCACTGTTTCTTGAATTTGTTTCTTCGCCAAATAAATAATAATGATAATGATTATTGATATAAATTATAAAAATAATGATTATCATTTTAAAATGTAATGATCATGATAATACAACAAATATTCTGGAAGTAAATTTGAAAGGGTGATCAGGTAGCTAGAAGTCGAGGTATATTATTAGGTTTTGCAAGAATCAAACTGGAAAAACTTACTCAATCGTGCTGCTGGAAGTCACATGTATTGCACATCTTTGACCAGTTACACCAACTTAATCAAAATAGAAGAAATAAATTTGGCGGAGGTGTCGCGATGTATATCTCCAATCATTTTAACTTAAATATAGTACCACCATGTAAAGGTAATACAAAGTTTTGGGAAATTTCGAAAATTGGCTGGATAGTGATTCTTTTAATTTTGATATATTTGGATGCCCCTGCGGATGTATTTTAAGCACTAGAAAATTTAGCCCCCAAAACACTTCTGCTTTCGAGAAAAATTGAATATTAACTTTCAAATTTCAAATATTGCCTACGGTCATACAATAGTAGCTGCGACCATGAAAATCTCAGAGTATGTAGTTTTGATATATAATTTCCAAACGGGAATAGCCAATTGGTCGAATTTAGTCAAGAACCATTGTTTTATGGCTAAATTAATATCTTGACCTTGAGAGGGAGCTATCCAACATAAAGAGTTTATTATTTACAATGTTATCACTTAAGACTCGATTTCAACCGCGACAACGATCATTGAATATTGTAGGATCGCATATGCTTCCAATATATTCATTTAAACCAAATTCATGACCCCATACCAAAACTTTGTAACACCTTTAAGTTTATGACCTATTAGTGTTTTAAGCGTAGAATCAAAGATTCTCGAAAAATTGGTCTACGTTTAAATTGAAAAATACTTCAAAGACAATGATATAATTTAATAATTTCAATCTGGTTTTCGACATGACTATTCAACTGAAACATGTCTAATTCATTTGACTGATTATTTGAGGACAGAAACTTCCAAAAGGCGCTTTGTTGGTATGGTGCTCCTTGATTTGCAAAAAAAAAAACTTTTGATACAGTTAATCATTGCGTCTTGAAGAAGTTACCAACCAATGAGTTTTAATAAGGCAAGTTTAGAGTGATTCAGATCCTACTTGACTCATCGACAACAAATAGTGGCCATTCATGATATTCGTTCCAAACTAATGCCCATAACATGCGGTGTTCCTCAGGGAAACATTTTAGGCCCAATTATATTACAAGTTATATCAATGATATGTGTATTTGTATAAAAGGCTTTGAAATATTAGTGTACGCAGATGGCAGCGTTGTTCTCTATTCAAATCCAGATCCTAAATATATTCAGGAAAAGCTTAGTGAATGAGCTGTCTACGTTTTTCGATTGTATGACTGATAATAGGCTTTCTTTACACTTGGGAAAAACAGAAAGCATTTTTTTTTGTTCTAAAAGTAGTTCTAAAAAGTAATTTGAATTTAAAGTGACACACAATAATCAAGTAATCAAGATAAAAGAGTCTGTGAAGTATTTAGGCATTGAGTTGGCTAGCGCAATTTCATTTTCATCTTTAGTAGAATCAGTTGTAAAAAAAGCAAATTCTCGCCTGAAATTTGTGTACAGACATCAAAGTTGTACGGATTTAAAAGCAAGACGTACACTCTTTTTTGCTCTTATTCAATGTTTATTTGACTATGCTAACCCTGCATGGTATAGTAACATAAACAAGTCAGATCAAAAGAAATTGAAGATTATACAGAACAAAATGGTAAGATTTATCAACTGTTCTGCTCCAAGAACTCATGTTGGCTACAGCATACTTTCTAAAGCTGGTTTTCTTGAAGTCGACCAAAGATCAAAACAACTCGTATTGTATCACGTGCATAAAATATATCATACTAGGTCGAATCATTATATTCGATCCCATTCGATCTTGTTACTGACGTACATGATTATAATACAAGAAATAGCCGATTCAACTTTAACTTAACCAGAAAGAGTAGGTAGTATTTGAAATTCGTTTTATTACAATGCCATAAAACATTGGAATTCCCTTTCCAACGCTGTAAAGGAATTAGAAAACTATGCTCATTTTAAGAGGAAATTAAAAGAATACCTGATACTTGAGCCAAGACAGAGAAGAGAAGTGAATGACATGTTATATGATTGAAATTTGTATTCTTCTGCCGGTTCATACTTTTTCATTTTGTATATACTTATGTTTTTGTACGTTATAGAAATTATAGAAATTCTTCATTATTTACCTCTTTTTCCTCCTCCTCTTTTTCTTCTTCTCCTTCTTCTCATTTTTATCATCAATGTTGTTATTATTATTATTATCTTTAATAAGTAATTATTTTTTCTTTTCTTATCTGTCTGTAAATATTACTATTTTAACCTGTTCATTTTGTATATGTATGTAGGAGACCCTACTGGAAATAAGCTCTCGAGCTTTCGTGGGTTATCCTGTTCAAGCTGACTTATTTTTGATCTGTTATTATTGTATATTGTTGTATTTTAGAAGCTTGTCGAATAAATATCATCATTACTTGGTTTGGGGTTTCGAGCACTTTATTTTTTGACGGACACTAACACGCGCGCTTGTAGGGGCAGGCGCCTCCACGTTAGCTTACATTCTGACCCATGACCTGAGCATGACTTATGCAAAATTTGATTTGAAATTGATATCGCATGGCTGATATACGACCATTCATTACATTTCACATAATGACGTCATGATGACGTCACGATGCTATAGCGTCGCTGAAAAGTCACGCAGTTCTAAGGTGGATGAGGATTATCATCATGGCAAGTTTCATGACAAATTGCGTTATCCAGTCTTGAGATATTATGCGAACATATTCATGGAAAACAAATATATAAAGAAAAATATTGTTGAAATCAAAAGGTAATACGCACCGTACGTATTGCCAAATAAATAATAAAAATCTTGACAAAATCAAGAGGTGATACGGATGTACGTATCACCTAATTATCGATAGGTTGTAAGGTGGAACCTGTGTATAATGACCACTCGAGGGAGACAAGAAAATCAGTCTTTATTGGCAGTTTATCTAACATCTAACATTATTTAATTAACACACTTCGAGAAAAAGAGAAACAAATGTATAGTGAAGTATAATTGTCCATGAAGCTGTCTACCATCATGTAAATACTCGATCGCTAATAATGTTTTATGATGTCTTTTTAATATGGAGGTATAATAACGTTTTCTTTTAGAGGCTCAACACAATCCAGCTTTGTGTTCTTTATAACACCATATTCGGAAACCAACATACATTTTGTCGATAGTTGGCGCTATTAAACCAAACAGAGACAGAGATTTGCATCTCTAAACAATGTACCCAGTATATTTTTATTTAAAGAGGAAGAAGAAGAGTGCATAGAATGCTATTCAAATGATATGACAGGAGACAATTAGCAAAAAGGTCATACACGGATATTGAATTTAAAAAATACAAATATGGAAGCAGATATGACGATATGGCAGTATGAAGGATATTTATAAATATTCATATATCTACAAAAACTGACGAGTTTAAAATACAAAAAACATAATCATAGCGTAATACTGAAAAGAATGAAAAATAACATGACAATGCAAAAATGCGGCAACAGGCCAACAGCACAGTATACAACTTATGAAAATGATCCTGTGCTTTTCTATGAACATGTACAACAGTTAACGATAACATTAAACAAATTTTTTATTTTTTATTTTAGTATGGAGGTGTAATAAAGAATAAAGAGGCTCAAAAACAATTCAGATCGGTGATCTTCTAGCGTCATATTCGGATCCCAATATACATTGTGTTGATAGCTGGCGCTAATATTCATTTCATTACACCAAACAGAAACTAATATTCTCATCTCAACAACAAAAAAGTAGGCCTATACAGATAAAACACCAAACACCAACATTGTACATTAACAATATATTTCAATACTTAAAGCTACGTTAAGTGTAGTAATAATCAGGGCCCCGTTACACAAAGCTTAGCACTTGATCATACGATTGAATTTGAGAATGATTGCATTGAACACATGTGCCATCATTCGCAAAAATCAATCGTACGACCAATTGCTAAGCATTTTACCCCGGTCCCCAACATGAACAAATCCTCTTTACGGTCATGCATTATGGCTCAAGGCATGGGCACACAGAGTATTTTTTTCTGTTGGGGGCCAGGGGTAAATTCAATAAATTATTGATAATTTATTGCATTTTTGGGTTTAATTTGTGGGAAAACCCCCTACCCTAGCCCTCGCTGCGTACAGTCATGGTTCAGTGGCAAAGCAATGGCCTCGTAACTGTGAGGCCCCAGGATCAAAAACGTGTCGATGTGCTATATTACTGCCCTTTTTAGGGCATTAATCCTCATTACTGTCATTTGTGACTTAAGGGCGTAGGTCCCCTAGTTGATAAGCTTATTAGCATACACATGCTTTAGCAGTCAGGCAAAAAAAACACTGGTAAATTATTATTCAATAAAATCTGAGAATGTATACTATTATCTAGATCTATTAGGAATAAATCATTGTCAAAATAGTTCCATAAATTGGGGTAAAAAAAAATATTCCAACGTTATGAGCGACAGTGTATAATGAACAGAATCACTGCCTAATTAAATCTCCATCATCAAATTGAAATTGGTTTCTGAGAAAATGATAAGTACTTGCAATGTCAGAATATCAGAATGACAATCAGAAATGGTAAACAAAATTAATATAAAATTAATGAATACAAAACTGGAAGCAGATTTAACAATGTAACAATATAAAACATATATATATTAACATTTATATCTACATAAATGATACTAAATACATTTATAGAGCGCAGAAACTATCCAACATTAAGTATATATTCTACTGCGCTATAAGAGCTCCTGATATGCTTATATACATGTATCTACACAAAGAAAATATTGAGATAAAAATACAAACATATAAACATATTATAATACATCAAATACCGACTAAACTTAATTATTATGCAATAGTAAGGCAACGCCATAATAAACAACTTATGAAAACGACCCTGTGCTTCCGATACATATGAACATGAGTAGATAAAAGCAACCAAAGCTATACATATAACATATAACATGAATAAAAATATATATATATATATATATATATAACGATGGCACTGACATGTGAGGTTAGATCATATGAGCAAACAGGCTTAACTGGTAAAATATCAAATTAACAACACAATTGAACATTAATATCACAATCTACAGAGAAAAACAATATTAAATTTACTTGTTCTGACTAGGGAAGAACGGATTGGAAATAACTATATTCAACAATTATTCATATTAATAATATAACGCTTTTCTAAAGACTAGCTCCTGCCGAGTTTCCTAAAACTGTTCAAAAATATTCCGCAAATTTTGTTTAGCTTCTATATTAGGGTAGCAAAATAATGAATTCATATTGCACTCGTTTGAAATGCGCATGATACACGCATGCTGAAAGACTCGTTTATTGCACTATATCTTGAAAACATATTTCACACACCATGAACATTTCATTCTGTTTTTGTAACATAATGCTACGTGTCAACCTACAACAATTGCTTACAGATAAAGTCGGGTTCTTGTCATTCGAATGACTTGTCAAAGGAATTGACTGCAAGCGATTAGTAAAGTAATGTCGCGTATAACTGTGTACTTTGAGGTTTTGGGATCATCATATTACTAAGAACACGTTCGACTTAGTCTTGATGAAAGCCATGTGAACCATTCACAGATATGGATGTATGGGACTACACAAAATGTGGTATGAAATCTGGTCCAGACATTTCAGAAATTTATCATCCTAATATCAACTATGAAAACAATACTGAGCCATTTTTCATGGTATATATTTGTTTGTTGTATTTTCCTAAACAAACAAAAAAGCACAATGAAGCAAACTCACAACTTGTTTCTGACCTTTCCAAGAACTTAAAGGGAGTGTGTCATGACGAGACTATGTGTCTTTCCCGTGGCCCTACCCGGGGCCAATCGGGTAATACGACTACGGACGACGCGACCGTAGCATTCACGTGCGTGCAACATACGCGAAACCGAAGCGCGCTGACCCAGTTAATTAAGTCCATTCGTTTACGTGCAGTTGTCCAAAAGAAGACTTAGATGGCGTTAACCCGTTTTTCTCATGATACACTCCCTTTACCTATAATCTAACATATAAATGGCACACGTTAAAGTTTGAATTTAAAAGCAATATTACGGAGATGGCGTCTGTCGGTTTGTCTTCTTTTTTCTCTTCCTTGGTGGTCCATCCAGAATGCCATCCTCGGAATCGTGGCTGTTTGATTGGTTGTCCCCTCTTGTTTTGTCATCTTCATCGGTTGTGTCATCTTCATCGGTTGTGTCATCTTCATCAGTTGTGTCATATTCATCGGTTGTGTCATCTTCATCGGTTGTGTCATCTTCATCGGTAGAGTCAGGCTCAGGATTAGTTTGGATGTCTTCCCAACTAAGTACATGAAAAATCACATCAGTAGATAATAGTAGAAGAAGAAAAAGGGTGAATATCATTTAGAAGCAAACATTGTATTTAAATTCGATAATAATGATGTCAAAAACAAAATAATGATAATAATGATAATAGCAATAATGATATTAATGATAATAGCAATAATAATAATGATAAAATAATAGTACAAAATTCAACATCTCTATTTTGAACATGTATAAAGCATGACAAATATGACTAGTAATATGAAATAATAATTATTTGATCATCCAGTATAAATCTCACTAACCAGTTTTGGAATGATGAATATCGCTGACTACAATATTTTAAGGGAATTTTATTAGTTAATTGTTAAACTAGTTAATATAAAATAAAAGAATTATCAAGAGAAAATGGGGAAGGCTTAACCCTATTTAGCCCGGGGGGGGGGGGCTTTAGAAGCCGCCCCCCCCCCCTCGACATTTTTCGAGATAATTTTTTAACGCAAAATAATCTTGCACTGAAATTGTGTGACTTTTTTCTTTCGAGTCTTGCGCATCTTTTGAAAGAAAGTTTTCGAAAATCGGACGTACCATTACAAAGTCACGTGTCCTTTTGTCTTTGCATGTCAGCCCGAAAATCACTCATTTTTGTGATTTGTGTACAAAACATATGGAAATCTCATTTTTCAAATAAAGAGATAAAACATTGGTTATTTGGTCTTGTTTATAGTTTAGGTTTTTATTTTGGGGTCAAAATAGTTGAATTATAGTTGGAAATAAAATAAAACAACAAAAACAATAAAATACATAAGTTAAAAAACAAAGAAATACATAAGAAATTATCAAAACAATAGATAACATAAGGAATAACCCTGGTCTTTCAATGTTTTGTGTTGTATTATTATTCCAAATGGTCTAACAAATATATGTAGTGAGAAAGAATGCTTAAATATGAATAATGTCTGATTTATGGGCAAAAAAAAAAAAAGTGAATTTGATGACCTTATTTGCATAAATTACCATAAATATGCAAATGAGTGAATTTTTCAAAAAATTGAGATTACCATGGTATTCTATTTACTTCACTTAAAATATATGCACATTTTTATGCGGCGATCGGTCGTTTCACGGCCGAGATCATATTTTGAAACTGCATAGCCCGGGGGAGGGGGGGGGGGCTTCTAAGCCCCCCCCCCCCCGGGCTATGCAGTTTCAAAATAGCCCGGGCTACTTTAGGGTTAACGAAGATCAACATAACATGGAAACATTATTATAAACTTATTACATTAATCATACTTATTGTCCATTCCACGAGAAAGTCATCAATGTTTATAGAAGAAGGTTTGTATTTTTTAAGGAACAGGTTATAAGATGATAAATTAGAGGGTTCTACGACACCTACTCCCTGGACATCCACCCCCGGATAGCCACCACCAGTCAACTAGCACCAAGGACAACTACCCCAAGGAAAACCACCCTCTAGGAAGACTACCCCTGGGACAACTCCCCCCGGACAACTACCCCCCCCCCCCCCAGAGTAAACTACCCGTAGGACAACTTCCCCCGGACCAACTACCCGCTAGGATAACTACCCCCGGATAATTACCACCCAGAAAACTACCCCCAGACAACTACCCCTACGACAACCATCCTCTAGGACAACTACCCCCGGACAACAAGTATTTGCGTGTGTGTTTTGGTTCTCTTACTTTGGTTGTAGATGACTGGGCGTTACTGCAGACGGGCCTGTAGAGTGTGTGAGAGAGAGAGATATATATATATATATATATTGGGAAAGAGAAAGAGGAATAGTAATAGAAAAAGAAAGATAAATGAAAAAGATAAATAGAAATAGGAAGAGAAAGAAGAAGATACAATTATGGAGAATCTATCCTTCGCACATGCCAGATCAACTCTTTGGAATCAGCTACCACAGCCTCTTAAAGACATCAACTGTCCAATATTTCAAGTGTTTAATTAAACCTCACCTGTTCCAAACTGACTTTGACTTAATTCAGTTTATGTCCAGTCAGTCTATAACAATATTTGTTCTCAATTTACGAACAAAAATCCAGTACGTGTCTTTATGTAAACTTCTTGTTTCCTGATTTTGATGTACTACGTTTTATACCGCATCACATTTTTCATGCAGGCATACTTTCCCAGCCTCTGCAGCATTTTGCGAAATGTAGAAGGCGCCTTTTACATACTCAATATTATCGTTATTCTCTCCTCCTGATGACAGTTCTCTCTACACAGCTTTATACAATTAAGAACTAAATATAATTAGGGTCCATCAATATCTGACCCTCACGATATTTACCTTCAGATATTTTGCCACTTTGTGCATTTACACCACTGGTGGAGGGAACATCCATGTCCAGCTGCACGGATCCTTGGTGTGACGACAGAGATTCATGGGCTCTACTAGTTGGACGGGATGTTTTCTCTGACAGCGTGGGGTGAACAAGATGTCTGATGTATTCGATTTGTTGTTTAAGATCTTTTTCCTTCAACTCTTCAAACCTTTCATCTAAATGTAGCTTCTTGTTAAAGAAATGGTTCTGAGAGTAAAATACACAGGCAAAATTATTTTAAACAATGAAACAGTGATATTTCGTTGCCCGCCCGTCCGCCTCATTTTCTCTCCCCATTCTCTTTCTCCCTCCTTCACAAACGCAAGAACACACGCACACACACTGATCTTTAGACTCTATGTTATAATAATTGGTAGGTCTTCAAGCCTATCCCCTGATCAATGACTACGTACTACTAACACAATTATTTATATTGTAGGCCTACATGGAACTGATTTCTTACAGGATGGTTATCAAATTGATGACACCATTAATAATATTTGTTGGTCATTTTGTCGGGGTATAATGTAGAACATCAAAATACTATGCTGTATAATCAAAAATTCATGTGTTTCTGTTTTTTAATAGCGATCATTTTTTGTAACATATTCTATGCAAATATTATGCAAGTGTGGATCTACATTAAATGAATATCGACCCTCTACTGACGAGCTTTTCTAAACTGTATGGGGCTTTCCCTTCTCAGAATGACTAAAAATATTATTCAATTACATCTAGTTTTACACTGATTATTGCATGTATACATATTAATATATCAGGAATATCTAACGGTATTCTTTTGAAAAATCTGCATTTGTAAACGAGCATACCAATTATTTCGAAGTATGTTACTATTCTCTTCTCCATATTGTGTCGTTCTTGGTATGAGCTTATGATCATGAATGGTATGAATATTGTGGTTAGTAAAATGGGCCGCATAGAAGACTAACATAGATAAATGAATATATGTGTATATAGAGAACTTGATGAATAAATAAATAATGAAAAACCTAAGCCATTGTGTACAATTTAAAGCGAGATCAGAACAAAATGATTACAAAATGAATTTTCGAGGTTATTAATATGTATATTTATGTGTTGATACCTTTGAAGATGGACCCTCAAGAGCAATCACCTCGTAGAAGCCTTCAGGAAACCATGAAGGGGATTCATGTGCATCCTTAATCGTGAGCTCAATGAGACTCATAGTGGTACAAGTAATTGACACTTGACAGTTTCATTATTCATCATTCAAGGCTATGGTGTAACCAATATCTTCTATTCCATGTATTCATCATGCATGTATTACATAGAAACATCTTGTAAATCACCTGTGGGGATGAGGCCTGACGAGCAAGTTCGTGGTAGAAATCATCAAGAAGGAAAAGTTGCTTGTAATGTCCGTCAGATTCCTTTATCGTCAGGTCGGTGAGACAAGGCAGGAGACATAGAAAGCTGGCTAGGTCACGTGATGATGTTGGATCATTCTCACGTAGATCACAACCGCCAATACATACCTTCTCTATCTGTTTAGACGACAATTATATTGAACAAAGGGAACAACGAAAAGTAGAGATCTATCAATTTAAACGATAATGAATAAATGTTATACCTTTATCATTTTTACGATCATAAGTGTATTAATTAAATTGTAGAATAATATGCTATAGAATTAGAAAATAATAATGATGTCATACGTACTACATGTTCATCGAATTGCACTTAATGTCTAGGTAATTTTTTAATGTTAGTGTTATTTATCGATAAACATAAATTCAACGTATTCATTAAACTAGAGCTAAGCTTTTAGCTTAAAGTTCTATTAAAGCAAGACACATATGAAGGCATGTGGTGAGAGCTGTAATTACTGAACATCATGGTCATTAAGGGTCGCCTAACTTCTCTATCTGTTGAGATGACATTTATGACAAAAATTGGGAAAAAATAGAGATCTATCAATTTAAACAATAGGGAATGAATGATATACTTTTATCATTTTCACGATCGTAAGTGTATCAATTTCATTGTAGATTAAGATGCTATTGTATTAGAAAATAATAATGATGTAATAAGTACTGCATGTCCATCTAATCGCGATTAATAGCAAGGGAATTTTGTGTAGAAGTGTGATGTGTAAATAAAAAAAAAATTCTTTTATAAATTACTTAAACTGTAATTAAGCTTTTAGCTTAAAGTTTTAAAGCAAGAAAAATATGAACGGGGGTGGTAGCTAGGAGCTGTAATTATTGAACATCACAGTCATTTGGGGTCGATTAATAAAACGAAACAATCAGTCACTGTCAGGGTTAAAATTGCCCCAGTAAAATAGTGGTACAAGGTAATTGACAGTTTCATTATTCATCTTTCAATGCAACGGTGGGCCAATATCTTTTATTCCATGTACTACATTAAAACACCTTGTAAATCACCTTTGAGGATGAGGCCTGACCAGCAAGTTCATGGTAGAAATCATCAAGAAGGTAAAGTTGCTGGTATTGTCCGTCACCGTCCCTTATCGTCAGGTCGGTAAGACAAGGCAGGAGACATAGAAACCTGGCTAGGTCACGTGATGATGTTGGATCATTCTCACGTAGATCACAACCGCATATACATACCTTCTCTATCTGTTTAGACGACAATTATATTGAACAAAGGGAACAACGAAAAGTAGAGATCTATCAATTTAAACGATAATGAATACATGTTATACTTTTATGATTTTTACGATCATAAGTGTATTAATTAAATTGTAGAATAAGATGCTATAGAATTAGAAAATAATAATGATGTCATACGTACTACATGTCCATCGAATTGCACTTAATATCTAGGTGATTCTTTTCGTAAGTGTTATTTATCGATAAACATGACATTTTACGTTCTGAATTCTTTAAAGTGGAATTAAGCTTTTGAAGTAGGCATGTGGTAGGATTTGTAGTTACTGAACATCACGGTCATTAAGGGTCGATTAATAAAACGAAGCAATTAGTCACATTATTGTAATCATACATATTTACCAGAGTTTCTGTCAGGGTTATAAACTTGCCCCAGTTAAATAGTGGTACAAATGATTGACAGTTTCATTATTCATCATCTAATGCAACGGTGTATAAACCAATATCTTCTATTCTTTGAATTACGTCTAAACACCTTGTAAATCACCTTTGAGGATGATGCCTGAAGAGCAAGTTCGTGGTAGAAATCATCACGAAGGGACAGATGGTTGTATTGATCGTCCGATTCCTTTATCGTCAGGTCAGTGAGACAAGGCAGGAGACATATAAACTTGGCTAGGTCACGTGATGATGTTGGATCATTCTCACGTAGATCACAACCGCCAATACACACCTTCTCTATCTGTTCAGACGACAATTATATTAAACAAAGGAAAAAACGAAAAGTAGAGATCTATCAATTTAAACGATGATGAATAAATGCTATACTTTTATCATTTTCACGATCATAAGTGTATTAATTAAATTGCAGAATAAGATGCTATAGAATTAGAAAAAAAATGATGTCATACGTACTACATGTTCATCGAATTGCACTTAATGTCTAGGTAATCTTTTAATGTTAGTGTTATTTATCGATAAACATAAATTCAACGTTCTAAATTCATTAAACTAGAGCTAATCTTTTAGCTTAAAGTTCTATTAAAGCAAGACACATATGAAGGCATGTGGTGGGAGCTGTAATTACTGAACATCACGGTCATTAAGGGTCGCTTAATAAAACGAAACAATCATTTAATTTTATGGTTATCATACTCATTCAAATGACTTTTCTATATTATATTAACTGTCAGGGTTAAACCTGCCCCAGTTAAATAATGGTACAAAGTAATTGACAGTTTCATTATTCATCATTCAAGGCAACGGTGTAATCAATATCTTCTTTTCCTTGTATTACATTTAAACGCCTTGTAAATCACCTTTGAGGATGAGGCCTGACGAGCAAGTTCGTGGTAGAAATCATCAAGAAGGAAAAGATGCTTGCCAAATACGCCAGTGTCCTTTATCATAAGGTCGGTGAGACAAGGCAGGAAACCTAGAAACCTGGCTAGGTCACGTGAGGCTGTTGGATCATTCGTACGTAGATCACAACCCTGAATACACATCTTCTCTATCTGTTGAGATGACATTTATGACAAAAATGGAGAAAAAAAATAGAGATCTATCAATTTAAACGATAGGAAAAGAATGATATACTTTTATCACTTTCACGATCGTAAGCGTATCAATTTCATTGTAGGTTAAGATGGTATTGAATTAGAAAATAATAATGATGTAATAAGCACTGCATGTCCATCGAAATGCTATTAATAGCAAGGGAATTTTGTGTAGAAGTGTGATGTGTAAATAAAAAAAATTACATTCAGAATTACTTAAACTGTAATTAAGCTTTTAGCTTGAAGTTTTAAAGCAAGAAAAATATGAACGGGTGTGGTAGCTAGGAGCTGTAATTATTGAACATCACAGTCATTTGGGGTCGATTAATAAAACGAAACGATCAGTCAATGTCAGGGTTAAAATTGCCCCAGTAAAATAGTGGTACAAGGTAATTGACAGTTTCATTATTCATCTTTCAATGCAACGGTGGGCCAATATCTTTTATTCCATGTACTACATTAAAACACCTTGTAAATCACCTTTGAGGATGAGGCCTGACCAGCAAGTTCATGGTAGAAATCATCAAGAAGGAAAAGTTGCTTGTAATGTCCGTCACATTCCTTTATCGTCAGGTCGGTGAGACAAGGCAGGAGACATAGAAACCTGGCTAAGTCACGTGATGTTGTTGGGTCATTCTTACGTAGATCACAACCGTCAATACATACCTTCTCTATCTGTTTAGATGACAATTATATTGAACAAAGGGAACAACGAAAAGTACAGATCTATCAATTTAAACGATAATGAATACATGTTATACTTTTATCATTTTTACGATCATAAGTGTATTCATTAAATTGTAGAATAAGATGCTATAGAATATGAAAATAATAATGATTTCATAAGTACTACATGTACATCGAATTGCACTTAATATCTAGGTGATTCTTTTCGTACGTGTTATTTATCGATAAACATGACATTTACGTTCTGAATTCTTTAAAGTGGAATTAAGCTTTTGAAGTAGGCATGTGGTAGGATTTGTAGTTACTGAACATCACATCACGGTCATTAAGGGTCGATTAATAAAACGAAGCAATTAGTCACATTATTGTAATCATACATATTTACCAGAGTTTCTGTC